CTTATTGTCTTGTCCCTGCAGGCCTGCCCTTTAAAATGTGCTCTGGCCCTCTTGCCCACCCACATGGCGGTGGGCTGTGCAGTTGTGCAGAAGTCAGGTTCCTTCCCTGTGGTCTTGGAGCAGTGAGGGGATGGAGGGAGTGTGCCCTGAGCACCTGTCATTGCCAGCTGGGTGCTCAACCTGTACGTTGCCTTATCCTTAGACAGGAAACAGACCTGCCCCATCCAACAGAATAGCCGCTGGCTTTGTGTGGCTAGTTACATTTAAATTCATTAAAATAAATTCTGTCTCAGTCATGCTGGCCACATTTCAAGTGCTTGGTAGCTTCATGCAGCTAGTGACAACCCTTCTGGGTGCTGCATGTACAGTGTGACCATCGCTGCAGAAAGGCCTCTTAGTGGCTCGGCGCCTGTGGCTCAAGTGGCTAAGGCGCCAGCCACATACACCTAAGGTGGCGAGTTCGAATCCCCAGCCCAGGCCCGCCAAACAACAATAATGGATGCAACCAAAAAATGGCCAGGCACTGTGGCGGGCGCCTGTAGTCCCAGCTACTTGGGAGGCTGAGGCAGGAGACTCACTTGAGCCCAGGAGTTGGAGGTTGCTGTGAGCATGATGCCATGGCACTCTACCCAGGGGGATAGCTTGAGGCTCTGTCTAAAAAAAAAAAAAAAAAAAAAAAAAAGGCCTCTTAGTGCTGGGACAGAAGTTTAGCAATGTTTCCAAGGTCACACAGGAGGGGAAGGGGTGGGAGGGGAAGTTTTGTTTTTGAGCAAGCTCTAGGATGTTCTTTCTGCTCCTTTGTTCAAAAATAATATTGAGGTGGGCGGCACCTGTGGCTCAGTGAGTAGGGCGCCAGCCCCATATACCGAGGGTGGCAGGTTCAAACCCAGCACTGGTCTAACTGCAACAAAAAAATAGCTGGGCATTGTAGTGGGCGCCTGTAGTCCCAGCTACTTGGGAGGCTATTGCAAGAGAAAATCGCCTAAGCCCAAGAGCTGGAGGTTGCTGTGAGCTGTGTGACGCCAGGGCACTCTACCGAGGGCCATAACTAAGACTCTGTCTCTACCCCCCCCCCCAAAAATAATAATATTGAGGCTTGACGCCTGTAGTTCAGTGAGTAGGGTGCTGGCCACATACACCAGGCTGGCGGGTTTAAGCCTAGCCTGAGCCTGCTAAACAACAATGATGACTACAACCAAAAAATAGCCGACATTGTGGTGGGTGCTTGTAGTCCCAGCTACTTGGGAGGCTGAGGCAAGAGAATTGCTTAAGCCCAAGAGTTGGAGGTTGCTGTGAGCTGCGATGCCATAGCACTCTACCGAGGGCAGCATAGTGAGACTGTCTCAATAATAATGATATTGAATATCTACTGTGTGAGCCAGGCACTATTCTAGGGATAGATAATTATATAAAATAATCTCCACCCCTGTAGAGTTTACATTCTAGTGGGAGAAAACTAATAAATATGTATACTGTAAAAGGAGTGAATTACACATCAGGAGGTGATGAGTATAATAGAAAAGACATTTTAAAATACAAGATATTTTGCTGCAATTTTAAATAGGGTGGTCTGCAGTCTGAGGAACCAGTGCAAACGTATGAAAGCAAAAGCGTGCCTGATGCTTTTGAGGGAAAGCAGGAGGCCAGGGGTTCTTGGCTGGAGTACTCAGGGGACATTAGTGGAAGATGAAGTCATGGTGGTGGGGAAGGAGGCAGATCTCCTGTGGCTTTGTAAGGGCTCAGGACTCTGACTTTTGAATGAGACAGGAAGCCATGAGGGTTTTCAGCTAAAGGGGCACAATCAGGCTTGCATTTTAATGGAGCTGCCATGTTGAGAATAGGTCGTTTGGAGTAGAGGGAAAAGATGTGCTTCATTTGCTGTTGTGGGGACCCAGGAACAGGACAATGGTCATTTGGGCCTGTTGCAACTGGGATGATGAAAGATGTCGTCAGATTCTGGATCTATGTGTTTGAAGATGGAACAAGCAGAAGCTCCTGGTGGATTGATTATGAGGTATAAGAAATGGGTAAAGGATGACTCCAAGATTTTTGGCCTAAGTGACTTGAGTTTCCATCAGCTACAAAAAGAGCAGATTTGATATATGGTAGGGTGAGGGGATAAACTGTAGAAGTTCAATTTTTGTTAAGTTGATATGCCTAAGAGACATCTAAATGGAGATGTCAAGTGGATCTGGTGTTCAGGAGTAATGGCTGGTCTGGAGGCGATAAATTTGGGGCTGAGGAAGGAGCCAGTAGGAGAAATGGAGGGAATAGTGAAGGATGGAGGGGGAATCAAGGGAAGAGAGTTTCCTTCCTTCTGTTTCTTCTTCCTTTACCCTCTTCTTTCACTTCAGAGCCTGAAGCAGCAGCTGTTGGAGTGGAGCTGGAGGTACAGCAAGGCTATCCAATCCCCTTTCTACTTCTCATTCAAATGCCTGGCAGCTAACAGTGCTTGGTAAGATGAATGAGTTTGTGAATTCTGATTTCTGGGGGTTTTAGTTTTTAAGAGCCTGCTGTCAGTGGGGGAGAATGATAATACCAGATGTTATAGGCAGAATGATGTCTATCCCCTAATATGTAGGAGCCTAATCCTAACCCTTTCGTATGTGACTGTCTTTTTGATGAGGTGCTTAAATGAAAATGAGGTCATTATGTTGAGCCCTAAATCAGTATGACTGTTGTTCTTCTAAAAAGAGGTCAATAGGACACAGACATGTAAAGAGGGAAGATAATGTGAAGATGCCGAGAAAAGACACCCATCTAGAAGCCAAGGAGAAAGGCCTTAGAAGAAACCAGTGCTGCTAAAACCTTAATCTTGGACTTCCAGCCTACAGAATTGCAAGGAAATAAATTTCTGTTGTTTAAGTTACTGTGGTGTTTGTTACAGCAGCCTACGCATACTAATACATCAGTAAAGAGGCTTGAAATCTCATCCTCTCCCTACCTACTTGTGGTGTGTCTAGTCTCAATGAGGATTGACTCCTAGAGGAAAAGAAAAGTTAAATACTTGGCTTTGCTTGCCAAAATACAGTCTTATAGGGAGATTTATCTTAAAGCAAAGCCTTTCACTTGTAAGATCTGGTTCTCTCGGAAATCAGAAGGCTGAGCCCTGGTCCCATGAACAACAACCTGAGAAGGTAGACAAAGAATATCCCATCCCTGCATCCTGAATAAAGTCTGGGAGAGCAAAGGAACTGCAGAGAGAGAAAGAGAGCTTCAATTCTCAAGAGTTCCCAACAGGACCTCATGTCACAGATAGTTGGGGCATGTGACAGCAGAGGGGACTTATGCTTGTTCCCAGGTAAATCCAGGGTAAAAAGTGCAACCCCCTGAGAAAGGTGGCCCTGCCCCAGCAGGGGGTGGCAACAGAAGAGTGAAAGGAAACCTGTGTGCCCTGGTGTGGTCTGGTTCCTGAAAAGTCTCCCTACCCCTGTGGGACACATAGCAGGGTAGAATAAAGCAACAGGCTTACAGGTTTAACCATAAACGCAGAGGAAGACAGACTTGAAACTGGATATGGACACGTGGATGTCAGCAGCAAATGCCAGAATCTGCACTGGAGGCCAAACCAAGTGCGAGAAATGGGATCCCCCCCCCGCCCCCCCTGGATCAGAATGCCTTCACCCTTACTTGTCTCAAGCACAGATGCTACTGTGAAGAGAATGGGGGGAGAGGAAAAGCCTGAAATGACCAACAACATGCAGATGTGATAGAGTCACTGGCCAGATAAAAGAGTTCTACCATTAGGGATGATGGCAACTGAAGAAAGAAATTAAGTGCAGTTATTAAAAAATAATGCTAGGGGGGTTGGGGGGAATGGAGAGTATTAATAGATATAGGGTTTTAGTTTTACAAAATGAAAAATGCTTTGGAGATGGGTAGTGATGACGGTTGTACAATAGTATGAATGTATTTAATACCACTGAACTGTGCCCTTAAAATATGATCCAGATGGTAAATTCTATTACATGTATTTTCTTTTTTCAAGACAGTCTTACTGTGTCACCCTCAGTAGAGTGCTATGGTGTCACAGCTCATAGCAACCTCAAACTCTTGGGCTTAAGTGCTTCTCTTGCCTCAGCCTCCCAAGTAGCTGGGACTACAGGGACAATACCCGGCTATTTTTTGTTGCAGTTGTCATTGTTGTTAAGCTGGCCTGGGCCAGGTTCAAACCCACCAGCCTCAGTGTATGTGGCTGGTGTTATAACCACTGTGCTACGGGCGCCAACCCTGTTACCTGTATTTTACTACAACTTTAAAAACTGGAAAAAAGAGTAATGCTATAAAGTTTGCCTACCTGAGGTTGTGGCTTAGGAAATTCATACCGCTGACAACAGATAAGAGCTAAAGTAGGGCTCTCTGGTTAAGAGAAGGCGAGCTGGGGAGCTGAAGGGATTGCTCAGGCAGGGCCAAGAGCACCGGCAGATGAAGGTGGGAAGGCGTGGATGCCACTGCTTGCTTGGTGTCATTCTGGGCAACACCTCAAAACTGTTTACATGCACACCATCTTTAACATCCTCCAATCACATCTTTCAGCCCAAAGGAATTATCCCATGGTTGGTGTTCATGCATGTCTCTTAAGCAAACCCTCCCACAAAATTCAAGCAAGAAAACATCAGGTAAGATAATTTTATTAGCGTTATGTAGCACCCAACTGGGTTCTACCTGAAGCATTAGCAGCCAACGTAGACATCTTAAACTATGTCTAGTGCTGGTCACAAGACCTATTCTGCTTCCTTTAGAAGCGCTGCTTTTTATTGTGGCTTATGGTATAAAAGTGCTAGTTTTCATGAAGAGACTACCATGCCTTACAGCTTTTGCCCGGAATCAACAGAGCCCTGTAACTACTATTTCAGTTAAACATCCCTTTAGATGCCGATACAAGAAGAGAATGCCTATTGTAATGCACAACTGTTTAGGCCAGCAGTTCTCAATCTGTGGGTCGCGACCCCTTTGTAACAATGAAAATACATCGTGGTATTAGGAAGGTTGAGAACCACTGGTCCATACCCTCAGACTACTATTCCTGCATAATCAGATGGTGACCATGCACATTCTCTGGGATTAATGAAAGCTTGGAAAGCTGAGAGGGCTGCCTGGGTGCTGGCTGGCCAGCTGGCCTGCCCTCCAGCCTGCTCTACCCTGCAGCCCTGCACGTCTCCTGCCTTTGCTGGGTATAGCTCCAGACTTCTTTACATCTTGGAGAGCTTGATGTCATAGGTGACCATGTTGAAGTTGTCCCAGGCAAAGAGCCTCTTCTCCAGGGGGTTGTAGTCGATCATGCTGCTATACTTGTAGCGGTTCTTGAATGGGATGGTCAGGGTCTTGCTGCTGCCTGTGCCTGTGTCATAAGCGAAGTTCACGGTTGCGTCAGCAGAGGAGTAGCTGCTGACGGTGTACAGGGTGCCACAGATGAGGAAGGCATTGGCAACGGACTGCTTCCTGATGTTAGTCTCCCAGGTGTGTTCAAGTTCCAGATTCTCTGGGTTCAGTCTGGAGAGGACGATGGCGCCTTTGGCTGCCTCGGTACTGTAGATGACCCAGAGGCCAGCCTCGTCCACCGCCAAGTCAATGTCTGTGTAGCCACCCCAAGAGTAGGGGAACTGTCCGTGGAAGCCGGCTCCAGGGATCTCCTTCTCCGCCTTCACCAGCTCGGTGTTCAGCTCGTACCTTACCACGGTTCTGGAGTTGGCCCTCTGGAAGTAGAGGCTCCCCCCGTACACCACAGCTCCCGTGCTCTCCAGCGGCCTAGGCAGCACGTGCACCTTGGAGGGGTAGCCCTGTGTGAACTGGCTCCTGAGGTCATACTCAAACACCTGGCGCACGTCTGTGCCCACCGTGTCGATCCTCCACGTGGTCTCCCGGGTGTAGGGGTGGGTGGGCTTGGGGTCTCGCATCCACACACCATACTTGCCGGTGATCGTTTCTGCTGTCCTCAGAGTCAGGGGCTCTCCTACCCAAATGAGTTCTCCACATCCTAGTGAATTCGAGAAAACAAATTACCACTTACCCATAGCCTTTCCATACACAGTGCGTCTGTGGATGCACAGGCATGGAGACAGACCGTTTGTGTCTAAAGCCAGGTTGTGCCACCCACTGGCTGTGTGACGTGCAGTAAATCACTCAGCTCCACACGTCTCAGTTTTCTCATGTGTAAAGGGGGATACTAACAATGTTTTGGGGCCACTGTAAATTACATAATTTATACTTAATTATACACATTAAATGCTTGGTACAGATGAATGTGATGTGTTCAATCTGTGATTTAAACTGCACTTCTATTTAGTATCAGTTATAAGAATGGGATTTGTGCGGAGGATTTCAACTGTGTTTGTAATATTTGAAATATTCTATATAAGCCAGGCAGGGACTCTGGGAGTTCAGTATATTACTCTTTACCTTCATGCGTGCCTTATTTCATTATTAAAAAATTAAAAAATCAAGTCATGATAAGAACAATTTACGTATGACAAAGTTTTTCAAGCTCTAACTCATGGGCCAGGTATTTCATTCTAATACAATAAAGCCTGGTTATGTTTTAAATGTAGTGAAGAAATGGTGGAAAATTTAGATTTCAGAGAACTATGAATTAACTATTTCATTACCCCATTCAGTGTAAGCAATAACTGTCAATGATGTGGATAAAAAAGCTTCTGAAAACCAGTCTTATTCTTTTCTTTCTTTCTTTTTTTTTTTTTTTTTTT